GAGAAGGAAAATAATATCATATCAAGGTAGGCAAAAGGGAGAGCAAAGTATTCCTCTGGTGGGAGTGGATTTCTCTTCATCCTTGATATAGCTTTCAGGCTGTCTTCATGTCTGTCCTGCCTATCACCTCCCAGCTTGCAGCCACCATCATTCCAGAATTGGGTATATTCTTCCTTGAACTCTCTGAATCCTAAATTCAAGAGGTTAGCTTGGCAGGGTTTCCTAAGCCTATTACTACAAGCTTCAAGTGCTTAATTTACTTTAAATAAAGGAGCACATCTGCAAATTCCTTCCCACCTCTACTGTTATTGTAACAAAGCAGCCATTGGCAGGTTGCCCCAGTGGAGGGGCATGACAGTAGTAGCACTACTGTTTTAATTGAGGTCTTTTCTACAAGATTCGCTGATGAGATTTTCCATTTCTTTAAATCTATCCTTTCTCTTACTGCCCTTGTTCTACTTTATTTCCATTCCCTCTCTGACTTCATGGTAGTACCATATTACCTTTTTTTTTTTTTTTTTTCCCCTTAAACGTTATTTCTTTGTGGGGTTTAAACAAATTGTAATACACTACTGAAAATATTCCACCAGGTCTTCCCAACACCTTTGGAGGTTATGATGAAACACCTGAAGTGACTGCTGAGCACATTAAGGTATAGAATATTTCTCAAAACCAACCTTGGTAATAATTAATACACTTTTTTTTTTTCTGTAGGTACTTGAGTCATGTTTTGTATGTTTACTACAGCATTGCTGTAGTTCAGGGGTGGGCAAAATGTCTCACCAAGGGACTTTATCTAGCCCTCAACTGGTCTGTGTCCCACCCAGCCCAGGTTTGGGGGCGTCCCAGGCCATGGAGCCTACAGCTCAGTCCTGTTGTCCTGAGGCATGCAGTGGGGCTGGCGTAGTGTGGCAGCCAGACTCTGCTTCCCAGCAGCCCAGTGGTGCAGAGCACACACCCTTGACCCAGCCCAGGTGTGTGTGGGCATCCCCAGCACAGTGTGGCTGCGGATCTGTGTGGCCTGGCAGCATGGGGCAGCTCTAATGGATTGTGACCAGATTAGCCTGCCTTATGCTGACAGGCTGTGCCACTCCACAGCTGTACTGTACTGGGGTTGCCTGCCTGTGCTGGGGTGGGGCGCAGGTCACAGGCATGCACTCCACCACCCTTTTGCATCAAGCCAGTTGTGATCTGTCATGCAGGGAGAAGGTCCCTGCCCCAGCCCTGTGCTTTCACCACCCTGTGATCCCAATCCTAGCTCCAGCCACCTGTCCCACTCCCAGATGCTACTCTCTGCCCCCCTGTCCTGCTCCTAGATGCTGCTGCCTGCATCCCTATCGTATCCACCCAGCCAAATGCACACTGCCTGCGTAGATCGTGGACCGTTCTCAATGGAGACCCCACCTGTCCTTTCTGTCTGGCACTGCCCAGCCCAGTCTAGTAATCCAGTCACTTAGGGAATCTTGGTCAGCTGTTGCAGACTGCGGAAGGGAAAGCAGGGGTGGGGAGGAAGGGGGGTGGCAGGTGCTGACTCGGTGTGGTTGGGGGGTGATGGTGGCCCAGCCTGCAACAGCTCCCTAAAACTCCCTACATGGCCCTCCATCCCAAATAATTGCCTACCCCACTATAGTTTGGTCTTGGATGACTGTCACCTTTCTGTCATGTCTGAAACCATTTTTTCTCCAGGGGTTCATAACACTTGCTGAAAGGTAGTGCTTAAGGATTCATTTCAAACAAAACTTTTATTTAATAATATTTGAAAAGCCAAATGGTTTTTGGCCTTTTCTCCCTTGTAGGGTTGTAGAAAGGCTTGTTTAGCTTGTAGAGCTGTCTCTTGTATGCTGTAGGTCCTCATGTGTTTGCATTTGTTGGGAATAATTAGCTTGCTCTTGCATGGTTAATTATGAACAGATATTTGATATTTTTTCTAAGTTCTCAAAAAGGAGATATAGACCAGACTAATCTAAGTCAGTGACTCTCAACCTTCCTCACAACATGGTAGAAGCAGCATGAAAACCAGAGGGCCACCAGTCATTGCACATATTTAATTTTATTTTCGTTTAGTAATATTTCTCCTTTTTTATCTTTTTTCAGGGAGCCTTAACTTGTTTGATATTTGAAGCATGTACTTTTTTAATGCAGTCATCAACTTGAAACTAAATTGCCTTTTTCCTACTTACAGAGTTTTGCTTTGGATGGTTTGGTCAACATAGTTGGAGGCTGCTGTGGTACTACTCCAGCACATATCAGGTAACTTCTTGGGCCATGTTAGCTATGCAGATACTGAGGAAAGGAAAGTATCCCTCATCCTTTCCTCAGTTTCAGAGTCCTGTGATCCAGATTAGGATATCTTCACAGAAATAATAGACAAAAAACACTTGATTGTAACCTGCAACAACCCAGGAATAGTTTGGCTCTTTACTTTTGGCTTGTTGTAGGGATGAAAGTAATGTGGTACAAGCAAGACCTAGTCCTTTGTCTCTGAAGGAGCTGCTTTGGAATAAAGTGCCTTTTTCCTGTCTCCTGCTTATCAGTTGTAGACAGCAGACTATTCCATTTCATTTCTTCTGCTCTGTCTTGTCTTGTCTTCCATGTTGCTGCTTTTTCTAGCATTTTGTGTAGCAATACAGCAGAATTGATTTGAAGGGAGGATAAAGAAAGAGATAAAAATCCAAGGGGAGAATCTGAAAACTTTAGAAAGCCTGTTAGGCCAGACAGCCAGAACTGTTTCATGATAGTCCCACTGAAAATGGTACATGGAAAACCACCATTATTTCTTCTGTGTTCACAGGAACCAGTCCCTGTGAATGCACAGGTAGGGACCCTTCTGGTCCATCGTTACTCTGTTTTGTGTGGGGAATGAGTGAAAGTGCATGGGGGCATGGCATGTTTTCCTGAGCTGATTCTGAAGCCAGCAGAAGGGAGATGATTATGCTGTCATAATACAGAGGCAGATAGTTAGCATAAAGCATAGCTGATAAAGTGAGCTCATGATCATGAAAGCTTATGCATCTCTGATTCAGTTCATCTGTAAGGTGCATCTTTACCCTGCTTTCTGGCTATCGTAGTCACACTCACCATGATCCACATAGCAGTTGTTAGGAGAAGCATTTCGGCTGAAAGAATGGGTGAAATCTGTCCCTTGTCAGTGCTCCACTGCAGTACATAATCACAGCCAAAGTTGTGAATTCTTGATTGTGCAGGGTGCAGAATATCTGTATGCCTGTTAGTAAATGGGTATACTGCAGCAATGTTTTCCATGTCTGTGTCTGTTGGAAATCCATGGCTACGTGCACTCGCCACCAATAACAATTATAAAATCTTCTCGAAGAGTTTGATTAGTCTTTTTTTTTTTTATTTTTTTAGTTTTTTCTTTTTTGCCTTTGGCTGCACAACATGGAATGCATTAATTACCCTTGTCATGCAGGGCTGGATTAGAACTGCAGGTGTTTGTCTTGTACTTTCACTTTAGTTTTACACAGGGGCATTTGGTTTCAATTAAAAACTTACACTCTTAAAACACCAGGGCTTTTTCTCTCCTCTTGTAATTCAGGGAGATTGCTGAAGCCGTGAAAGCATGTAAACCTCGCGTCCCGCCATCCTCCTTTTCAGACAGCTACATGCTGCTATCAGGTATGATGGAGCAAAACAGGAACTTTACATTTCACTTGCTCTTCTTCTATGGCACTTTGAGGACCAGATTGGGGTGGGCAAGAATGAGAACTCCATCACCACATACACACCTCCTGAAATATAACAGTTTGCATGAATCCCTAGTAACATTCAAAGGGTTATTGAAACGATTGGATGCCTAATCAGTGAGGCCTGAGAGACATTCCTATCCACACTGGCTTCACAACTTGTTTAATAGCAAAGCTTAACTCTTGCAGTCTTTCAGTTGCTGTTTCTCAAAGTGCTTTACAAAGAAAGGTTGGTTTACTTATCCCCATATGGCAGGCGGGGTAAGTTTGGCA